TTTATAGAGTATAGTTAAAAGAGTTTCTTATTGACTTTAAGTCCAACATCAACAGGAATTCTGTATTATCATAAAAAATATCATTTATCCCTTATAAATTCAATCCATCCCCAACTCTACCAACATCTTTGCACGGCCAAATTTCTATTTTTTTCCTTCATTTTTTTTTATCATCACTATTATTATCTGAACACCTAATTGAAAAATTATAGATAAATCATATAAAAAATAAAAAAAGTCAAAGATAAACAAATAAATAAATGAATAATCAGCATAAGATAAAACAAAAAAATAAAAATAATATAAAATAAAATTGGATAAATAAAACTAAAAAAATTATAGAATAAAATAATATAATATAAAAATAAAAATGAAAATGGATAATTGGGCTTGATAATTTGGCCCTGTTTAATCAGGCCTAATGGGCTTGGGTTCGAACCAATTAAGGTGTCTACAGGAACCAAATTTTATTTTGTGATGATTGGGCTTAAAAAAAAAAAAGCAATACCCTTAAAAGCTTGAAAAGAAAGGGAAAACCCCAAAATTTTTTTAAGCCTCAGCCTAAGCATTTGGGCCATAATTGATTGTAATTTGTGTTCAGACTTTAGATAAGGGTTTTGCCAAACTCAAATTAAACAAATCCACTAGAACTTTTTTAAAAGGTAAGTTTTATTCAATTACTAGATTTGAACCCGCATTACATTATGAAATTATTTTTAAAAAAATGATAAATGTTTTATCATGAAATGCTATGTTATTAAAATAAGTGAATATAATGAAAAATAATACAATAGTTTATTAACAACCATAATTTATTGTCTATTACACATGTAACCAAACAATCTTTAAACTTTTAAGAAGATATTAACATGTTGGTATTCATGATATTATTCAAATTCAAAGAGATAGGGAAAATGTAATATTTTTTAAATGTCTATATGTGAATGTATATATTTCAAAAAAAGAATTTAACATGAATGGATATACTTTATTATTTTTATTGTAAATATTGTGGGTTATTGCCCCAAAAGCAAGATTGTTAAATTAGGTCATGAAAAATCTAAAATAAATCCATCTTGTTTAAAATGCTAATATGGCTAATGAAAGGATTTAATCATGAAAAAGCAGGTAGATAGCAACCTAAGTGGTCCAAACAATGTAGTATGTATATAGAAAAATTAAAATCTCAAGCATATATTTTTATAGTGATTTAAACAAAATGCATTTGTAGAACTTCGTTAGATAAAAATTGCGTGAGCAATCTATATAAGAAAAAAACAACGAAGGAAGTTAGAAAAAAATTTATAAAACACAATCTCTTAAGCTTATTTAGGACAAATAAATAGCAAAAATTATACCAAAACAACTATTTATGCTCCCAACTCTAGCAACAAAATATAAAGCACAAAAAGATAATAAAAATAACATATATAAATATATATATCATTAAAAAAGAATGAAGCATTTAAATACATGGTACCAAAAGATAATATACATTTTTGTTTGTGATGTGCACTTAATAGCTCCTTAAAACCAAAAACAAAAACTACGTACTTTAATTTTATAGGAAAGCCACACCTTATCTATATTCCATACTATGTCATAACTTTCTTTAATTAATCTCTTGGAATAATGATGAATGAAAATAATAATTATATAAAACAATCAAATCCATGAATGCTCAAAATTTATTAAAATTGTCATTGTAAAAAATGTGTTAGTTCATGCTAATTTATAATGATAGTTCATGCTTAATAGTTAATAGGAAAATCGATAGTTCCAATCAACTTAAATTGACAAAGAAACCTTAGAAGAAAAAAGAAAAAAAAATTGTACTATGCTATAAACAAATTATGAACTCAAAAAAATAAGATTCATAAAAAATACACTATGGTAACCAATAACTTGTATCACATTGCAAATAGTATCAAAAAAAAAAAAAAAAAAACACAACTTTGAAAAAAAATGTAGCTATCAATATTGTAGAAAAATTAATTACCTATGCATACAAAAAGAAGAACCCATTAATGTCATCACCTACAGAACTAATAAAAGCTTTAATACTAACTTAAAAAATAAAAAAATAAAGAATCAATTTTTTAAAAAATACATTGATTAACATAGAAGAAAATTTAATTTTAAAGCCATGGAAATTATTCAAACTTGAAACCATAGTAATGATCCAACATAAAAGAAATAAAGCCCAAGTCCATTCTTATCTATATAAAAAGGCCTAAGCAATGCACATGTTAGCTTTGAATGTATCAAGGTATAAGCAAGCTTCTCCAAAAGCATTTTACCAAGTCTATAAACTATTAGTTCATCATTGCAACCTAAGTTTTATATGCTAATTCCATTTAAGAAGAAGGCAAGCATTCAGAATAGAAAAATATTACGATATATTATAAGTTCTATCTTAGATCTTTGGACCTACAAGTGCATAAAATTATATCCAAATCCCTACCTTGTTTTTGTTTGTAAGATCACCATATTAAAGTTGAACTTTAAAAAGGACTTCTGAAATACGAATATGGTTATGTATGACAGAACATAACCATTCTTTTGTTCTTAACAAAAACATAATACTTCATTCATAGTTTTTAATAAGTAGACTAAATGGAAGAATGAAAGAAAATATGCCTAGATTAAAAGCGTACATATATAAAAAAAAATAAAAAACCAATCCTTACATGCAATAACCTAAATAGTAATTAATACTTTTCAAAACTTAAGTTGATGGCATAATTAAAGACATGCAAACTAACATGTTGTATGAAAAGTTCCCATGATAATATGTAGAAGCAAAGCAAAATAACAAAAATTACCATGATAATCTATATATATTGGATGTTAAGAAAACCAAAATTATTATCCTTTAAGCATACATAAGGAAGTACTTAGCTCACCATTCCTCATAATTTTTCAAGTAGCATCTTGCCAGCTTGTTCATTTAGAGGTGATTCTGAAAATGGCTCAATCAATAAATACCTAATCATCTGTAGTCACAAAGTTCAATGTCAAGGAAAATAAAAAATATGAAACCAAAGATCCAAAGGTGAATTACTAAAAGAAATTGACAGTCTAGAAACAGTTCTTATCAAACAAATTGATACAAAATGAAGTCTGGTTCCAACAGAACTTAAAATGGATATATGTCATTATCACAGACTTGGATTACACAATTTCACGTTGGTTGCAATATTTGGATAAAAATCTTCGTAAAAAAATAGTTTAAAATAAAGATGCTCAGACTTTAGAATATCCATTAATGAACAAAATAAAATATATCTATAATTATATTTGGTAAACTACATTATATATAAAATTGAATAAAATTAAAAGAATATTTATAAATCATACATACCAGGAACATGCCTAAATATTATTTGATAATCTAAATAGCAAAAAACATTAAAAAAAAGATAAAAGTCTAAGTTTGAAACAATTTGAGATAAAAATCTTAATTAATGTAGTATACATATCGAGAAAAATCTAAAGTATGTCCTTAGTTAAGTCTCTATTAAAGAATTTCCTACACAAAAAAAAAATGAAGAAAAAAATCAAATTTGTCAATGAGAAAATAAAAAGGCTAAAAGATATCGTAAGTTAAGATTCATAACAAAAGCTAATTCAATTAGTGATTACTTTCTTTTAAAACAACACTTTCAATTTGCAAACAACTCTGTTAACCTATCCATTTGCATTTTTTAATTAGGAAAATCAAAATTAAACTTCTTACATATGAATAATAATTAAAATAGTAATAAGCTTAAATTTCGCCTGGTTCATATTCTATTTTCAATATTAAAAATAAAAACCAGAATGAAAATTGTATGAAATTCAATCAAACTTAAGACGAGACCCAAATTCTTATAAATAAAAAGAGATTAGACCCAAATTGGAGTAGGCAACCATCGATCCATCATTGGTTTTCTTCTTTCTCATTCTTTTCCTCGTTTCTTTGTTTTATCTTATTCTTTTTTTTTCATCTTTCTTTGTTTTTTTTTTCATCGTGAAGCTTCAAAAAGCTTCATGAAACTCCAAAACATTTTGCCTTTTTTTATTTTTAAATATTTTTTTTCAAAAAATATATTAAGTCTTGAAAAATGATTTTATGCTTAAACAATTTTTTTTCAAAATCTCCCTTAATTGTTTTTTTTTACATTGATGATCTATCCCTTCAATTGAAAAAAAGGATAACTTTAATAATATGTAATAAATTATTTCTTCATTGCAAAACAAATTTTATTCATCATCTCCTTTAAATAATAATAATAATAATAATAATAATAATAATAATAATAATAATAATAATAATAATAATGAGAAACAAGTTTTATGTTCTAACCTGCATCAATTCTCTCCCCTATTTTTTGAGATTCTAAATGGAATTCTTTTTCATATTAAGAAAATCCAAAAATCATCATTTTAATATTAGATCTCTTTTTATTTTTTATTTTTATTATAATATTAAAAAAATTATTAAATATATTAACAATGAATTTTTTTAATTTTATAAGTGAAATTAAAATGATAATACATATTTTTGTATATATTTAAAAATTAAAAAAATTAAAATATTGCCATCTTCTTAATTCTACTTATAAAATTAAAAATTTATACTATTAATATATCAAATAATTTATTTTAAAATAAACCCACGTCCATCCTAGATTATTACAAGTAAAAGATCAAAACCATCGTCCTCGTTATGCCGCAAAAATTCTCAATCCAACGATCCACAGTTAACCAACGTCAGCACAATTACCAGAAACCCGCACCCACACTACGTAATTTAAAAGAGAAAAACTAAAAGAAAAAACGTTGCAACGGCAGCACCGTCGCTGTGGGGTCGTGGCTAGGTTTTGTCGGGAAGTAAAGGTCTACTATAAAACTCCCAACTCCTTTTTAGTAATTTCAATCCCTTTCCTTTTTTAATTCTAATCATTTACGATGTATTTATTAAAACATTTGAAGAAAAAATTATTTTATTGACAAGAAAAAAAAATGTAAATTTGTATATTTTTCTTCTTTGTAAATTTAATCCTTTTAATTATCTTTTTTTCCCCAAATATATTGTTAATGAAAAAGGGATACCCTTAACCCAACCGTCTATTCTGTCTCCATCAACGACCGCCATTCTCCCACGTAATAACCTCGTCTTTTTTGTTCTCATTTTGTTTCCCATGAATAATTTATATTGAAGGAAAAAAACTGAAAAGCCCTTTTCTTTACTTTGTTTGTGTTCAGGACAGATCTCCCAACTTTCACAATCATCGAATCTCCAATTTTTTTTTTCCTTCCTTCGATTCGCCGATTTTTCTCTCCCTTCGGTGCTTTTTCTCCCATTCGTTCTTTTATTTAATTTACTAAATAGTAATATTTTGCTGAGCGCTTTTATTTTCTGAAAAAATTGGTGTAATTTGGGGCATCATTGAGCGATTGTTTGGAGAAGAAGAGAAGGACAAAGTGAAAGGGACAGAAAAGTAAATTCAATATTTGTTTTTTAATTTTGTAATGAGAATCGAAGGAGAAGAAGAATGAACGATGCCGGTACTGCGTAGCGGAACACGCAGGGGCCGGGCAGCAGCACCGAAGCAACAGCAACAGCCCAATCCGATCGAGGTGGGGGAAGCGATTGCGACGCGAACTAGGCGGCGGAGGAGGGCGGCAGAAGCTGCGGCCGCAGCAGCAGTAGCTGCGCCAGTGACGAACAATAACAACGGCGAAGACGAGAATAAGAATAAGAAACAGCCGGCTCTGGGGGTCAATGAGAACGTAGCTTTCGCAGCGGCTGGGGAAGCGGCAGTTAAGGAGGAGGAGGAGGATAATAATAATAATAATAATAATAATAATAATAATAATAATAATAGGGTTTTAGAGGAGGGGGAAAGAGCAGAGAAAGAGGAGGTTGGGGAGAAGCCGATGGACGAGTTCCATAGCGGAGGAGGGCGGAGCAATGATAAAGGTAATGCTGGTGAGGATGAAGGCAGCACCGCACGGCTTCCTGAAAAGGTTTGAGATTTCCTTTTAAAGTTTGGCTTTTATGTTATACTGTTTGAAAGCTATTAGGTTAATCGATTATTTTTGTGGAATTAGATTGATATTAGGATTGATTTAACAAACTTGATAATCTTGATTTTGTCTTGGTTGTAGTCTAGACTTATATGGAAGAGTTACAGCTTCCATATTTTTATCAACATTTTCAGTGTTTGGCATCTTCTAGCTGGATATTTACTTCTTATAAAGTATAGTACTTTGAAACTATCACGTAGCTATATTAACTCTCTCACTGGATATAGTTTATGGAATTGATCTTTTGGACTTGATACTTGTTAAGGACGTTAAATACTGTCAGGATTGATAATCTTATGTGATCCTTTATTTCAGGGAGCCAGTCTTTCGGTATAAACATGAAAGAATTATAGGTCATCATTAATATAGACAACCATGCAATTTTAGTGTTCAAAGTCTATAATTTTTGTATTAATGAAAAAAAGACAATGTTCATTTATATATGGAAAGTAGTGGACCATATACTTTGTGTAAGATTGGTACGGTGCAGAGAGAAGCCTGTATTCAAGATAATACACGCTTTTTAAGCTTTTGCAATGATATATATATATATATATATATATATATCATTGCAAATACACTTTCTGATCATTCCCATCTAGGGGCGCCATCCTGTAATCTTTAAACTAAAGTTCATGTTCTGTGAGAACAACAGGTTATATACCAAGCTACTGTTTTGTCTGAGAACAAGGATTTAATTATTGGAAATATATAGTGATATCTTGCTTTGAAATAAAAGGAATGTGTTTAGAAACTGCTAGTCTTTTATTGAATTAAGTGTGGAATGTTTTAGTTTTTTCCCCTTTGCTGTTACCCAGTTAGAAGTTATAAGAGGTATGGAATAAATATGCGGTGTTTTGTGGTTTCTTGTGAAAGCTTCTTATTAGGCTAATAGTTTTGTCAAATGAGTTTTACATATGGTTGCATGTGCATACAATAGGTAATCTGTAGTCATAATTTAGACCTGAAGCTTTGATATTCGAAGTGCTTGTTTATACAAAGAGAATTCTGATAGCACAATTCCCAAAATAAGGTTTTACCATAGCAATATGATTAGTATCTCAATTTGGTCACCTATCTACAATAAAATTTGTTGCTTCTGAAAGGCTTGAAGTACCATGGGTCCTCCTTTTTATGCTGTTTTACTTCTTCTCCTGGCATGGCCTGAGTTTACTCTGAAGACACATGATTTTCATTTATTTTGTTTGGTTATTTGTTGATGGCTATTGGTATTATAATCATATCAATGGAAGGTTATTTGCTGGCTTTCCAACTGGGATATGTGGCAAGGATGTATCTCTGGTTTCTCAGTACTTCTATGTTTTATGCTGTAAGATCATAAGGTCATAATTAGCACCATATTTATGTTTTATTTCAGATTTGCAACTTCTGATTTTTGTCAAGTCCTTAAAGAAAATTTTATAATCTTCTTGCTTAACAACTCCAATAAGTCAATGACAAAGTTTTCCCCAGTCCCCACTATATGGGGTTTGACTAAATGCATTGTTGCTTTCATTGTCCTCTATTCAGGATCATGTTCTTGGTAAAATTAATAAATAGCAAAGTCAAAGTTGTTTTTGATAGATTTTACTGTGTATTAGTTGATCTATCCCTCCTGCTTTTGATGTATTTTTTCTCAGGCGCATATTTGGATCTTTAATTTATGGTAACAAATTTTGTTTTGGACCTTTTGTTTCATCATGTCTTCTGAAAGTTTAATTATTTATTTGCCTTACTGCAGGTTCAGGTTGGGGGTTCCCCAGCGTATAGAATTGAAAGGAAGTTGGGCAAGGGTGGCTTTGGACAGGTCTGTGTAGGTCGGCGTGTTTCGGCTGTAAATGCAAATGATAGAAATGGCTCTGGGGCTGTAGAGGTATGGCATTGTTTCATTTATATATTTAATAGGCATGGCATTTGATCTTCTTTAACAAGAAGAAAGATTTTTGGTCTTGACACTCTACATGATCTCTTTGTTTTAGGTTGCCTTGAAATTTGAGCATAGAAGTAGCAAAGGATGTAACTATGGACCGCCATATGAGTGGCAAGTTTACAAGTGAGTCTGATTGCACTTCTTAATTTGTTGTAATTTTTTGACTTTCTAATTATATTTGCAAATGTTTACTTATTCCTTGTCATTGGTACAGCACTCTTGGTGGCAGTCATGGTATACCCCGAGTACACTATAAGGGCCGTCAAGGTGACTATTATGTCATGGTATGTGTTGTTTATTCTGTTGTGCCATTCTTCTTTTTCTTGTAAATCTGGCCTGCTTTTGGTGTTTAGGTTTTGAATGGCTTTCTGATTTAAACCCTTTATTTATGCAGGTTATGGATATGCTAGGCCCAAGTCTGTGGGACGTTTGGAATAATAACTCTCATACGTGAGTGCTGCTAAACTAAGATATATTCTTTAATCTTTTACCAGTTATTATGTTTATCTTTTTTTGCCATTTTAGTTGCTTAATTAGAATATGCTCTTAACTACAGGATGTCCATCGAAATGGTTGCTTGCATTGCTATTGAAGCAATATCCATATTGGAGAAGATGCACTCTAGAGGGTAAGCAATTCATTCCCTGAAATCCCCTAGCTTTTTGTTGGCCTGAAAAGCATTGCTCCCCCACCCTCTCTATGATTGTTGAATAGCTTAAAGTGATAATATTTCTCTGGCTCTCTGGTGTCTAATTTGTATTATAACAGCTAAAAATCTTAGTTCTTAACTTGATCATTTCTTGTTTCTTCCAGCATATTAATAGTTTTTCTGGTGCTTTGAGCAGTTATGTGCATGGAGATGTAAAGCCTGAAAATTTTCTTCTCGGTCCTACGGGAACTCCTGATGAAAAAAAATTATTTCTTGTTGATCTTGGATTAGGTAATTTATAAGTCATATCATTTATATTGTTAAGAACTCCCAGATAAATCAATATCTCATTAATCTAACCTGTTTGTTGGTCAATCAGCAACTAGGTGGCGAGATAGTTCATCGGGTTTGCATGTTGAATACGACCAGAGGCCGGATGTTTTTAGGTACTATTACTGCTTACATCATGATTATTGTAAAATGTTAGTATAAACTGCTTCATAATCTTTTTTAAGAGAAGTACTTTTGTCTGTTAGGGGAACAGTCCGTTATGCCAGTGTACATGCTCATTTAGGTAGAACTTCTAGCAGGAGAGATGATCTAGAATCTCTTGCATATACACTTGTTTTCCTTCTTCGAGGACGTTTGCCTTGGCAAGGATACCAGGTTGGTCCTTCAATACTGTCAACTATCTTAACTCAAATATTCTAGTTTGCATTTGGACACGCATATAATCTTTTAAGATTTTTTTTCTTTTAAATTTTTTAACATGATGTCAGGGAGAGAACAAAGGGTTTCTTGTTTGCAAGAAGAAGATGTCAACATCTCCAGATACCTTGTGTTGCTTCTGTCCGATGCCTTTCAAACAGTTTGTTGAATATGTGGTCAACTTGAAGTTTGATGAAGAACCTAATTATGCAAAATACATTTCTCTCTTTGATGGTATTATTGGTCCAAATCCAGATATCCGTCCAATTAACACAGAAGGCGCGATGAAGGTACATTACATGATATTCTTTCTCAATGTAAAGTTTTATTCTTGTACTAGCCCTTGTTTCGGCTTTTAAAGTAATTTTGGATGTGAGAGTGTACTACAAATTAGTAAATATTTATTATTTAATTATTACAAATAAAATTTGATATACCTTTTTCTTGACCAGCAAATTTGATGTACCTGACATTTTTTTAAAATTTCTTGTGAAGCTTATTTATCAAGTTGGTCAAAAGAGAGGCCGGTTGTCTATGGATGAGGAGGAAGATGAACAACCAAAGAAGAAGGTTCGTTTGGGCATGCCTGCGACGCAATGGATTAGTGTTTACAATGCTCGTAGACCTATGAAGCAAAGGTATTTATGCCTGTAGTTATTTGTTGTTCTCTATTTCAGTTTTAGGACTGCTTTATTAATCTAATTGGTCCTATCAGTATTTTGGCTTTTCTTTTGGTTGATTCGTACCTTGGTACAATTTATTGTTTGCCTTTGTCATCTTTCTGCACTTAATCAACTAGTAAATTAATTAGTGATCTAGTTGCCTCAGTATAAAGAATATTTAAGAATGGGAAGTTTAAGTGGTCATGTGGTTGCAGGTATCACTATAATGTGGCAGATGCAAGGCTTGTGCAGCACATTGAAAAAGGAAACGAGGATGGCTTATTTATTAGCAGTGTAGCTTCCTGTCAAAATCTATGGGCCCTTATAATGGATGCTGGCACTGGATTCTCTGCACAAGTCTATGAACTCTCTCCCTATTTCCTTCATAAGGTACATGCTTTTATATATTCTGTTGATGTGGAGCAATTCTCTAGCTTTAATGTGTTCTATTTTACTCTCTGTTATCTGCCTTTTGAATTCCAGTAGTTAAAAGATGCTTCTGAATTTGTATTCTATATGAGTGTTTGATTTGATGTTTTGCTGTGTTTAAAGGAATGGATAATGGAGCAGTGGGAGAAGAACTATTATATCAGCGCAATTGCAGGTGCTACAAATGGAGGCTCCTTAGTAGTAATGTCAAAGGGTTAGTGTGCAAGGTTCCAATATTTGATTTTCTTTGTCAAATCTGTTGCGGTTCTGTTTACTTACCTTTGATTTGCTGTGTTCAGGTACTTCTTATTTGCAGCAGTCATACAAAGTGAGCGAGTCCTTTCCTTTTAAGTGGATAAACAAAAAATGGAGAGAGGGTTTCTATGTCACCTCAATGGCCACTTCTGGCAGCAGATGGGGAGTTGTTATGTCTCGTGGTGCTGGATTTTCTGAACAGGTGCTCATCAATTTAATGGCATTTTATCCTAGTACAATCTGTAAAAGAAGCATATATTTATATAACTAAGTTTTTATTTTATTTTAATTCCAGGTTGTTGAACTTGACTTCCTTTACCCCAGCGAAGGCATCCATCGCCGGTGGGATTGTGGTTATCGAATAACAGCAACTGCAGCAACTTGGGATCAGGCTGCTTTTGTTCTTAGTGTGCCAAGGAGGAGGCCAGCAGATGAAACACAGGAAACTCTTAGAACTTCAGCATTCCCTAGTACTCATGTCAAGGTGGATTGTGTAAACCTTACTAGCTTTTGGCTTCTGTTTCACTCAATTGTCTCTAAATTTCTTTATGTTCTTGCAGGAGAAGTGGGCGAAGAATCTTTACATCGCTTCCGTTTGTTATGGACGAACAGTTTCATGAGCTTCCCTGTTCATTTGTTTGGGATCGTTGAAGATTTAGGCCTGTCAAACTCTCTGCTAGTTGTCCGTCCGGTAAAAAGCTGTAACTCTCAGTCGTCTTAAGTTGGTCTGTTGTGTGTAGGCTTAGAGAAATTTTTTACCAGTACAGGCTTTAATTAATAGTAATTAAATATATTAGTTTCTAGTTGAACTTGGAGTTACGCCCCTCCATTGTGTGGAATTTCTCTTCTACTGGTGTCCCGAAAGCCCAAAATGATGGGTCTGTTAACTCTGTATAGTCTCGATTAATAAACGTTTAGGGCTGATGCAAATGGCAAGTTTCTCCTATTTATTTGCTTCTGGCATGAAACATCACCAATGTTTCTTTGATCCTACCCTACCCCCATGGTGCTTGTAGAATTCAGACTCAAAATGCTAAAAATGAGGTAATTTGTTTTATTATTATTATTTTTAATGCAACCAATCCGGATTTGTTATACCATTTAAAAATGTTATGGCAGTTTTATATAGAATCACGAATTAATGGCAATGACTGTCACGATAAGAAAAAGTGACACGACATATTTTAATTTGTTTGAGTTGTAACTGTTATGCTGGTTGCGGTAGCGGTGATTGGCTCTGTTGCTACTGCTTAAGAAAATCGTCTGCAAAGAAAGAGGAAAAAATTTATGCACAGAAGAAAATTATATGAAGGACCATCATGAACTGGTTGATAGCTCTTGTTTGCGAAAATGTTAACAAAGATTGGCTAAGGAGTTCCTTGCACAATTACTGATTTTATATTCGTGGTGAAACAAAGAAACTATTGCATGGGCCTCCGACATAACCTCTCCAGCGAAACATTTTCCTGGTGTAAACGTGAGAAATAAATATATGCCAATATCAAGACAAAGTTTAGGATTCCCCAAAAAAAAAAAAAATCAGCTAGCAGCTGTATGCACCCATGCGAGATGCATGGACACAATAAAAAACACACAGAAAAGAGAGGGTTATTCACATTGTGTTTACATACCTCAGAGTAGTCATGGTCATAGCAGACCACGAAGATGCATGTGCAGCCTCTCTCATCATGTGAATTCCTTTGAATATCCGCGACACGGGCATCACAGTAGACTTGATGATGCTCTCTATCCTATAGATCAACAGAGGCAAGAAGCCAAGACAACGTTAACTGAAATAAACGTTCAGCCTACCTATGACAGTATTATACACTCTTTGATGACTTTTTACTGCTGCGTAATTATAGTAGGAAGTTTAGAAATATAGATCCGAAACCAAAAACACCATGGCTTTGCTGCTTTGTGTTTCAAATACCTACAATAGACTGGACTGTTGGATGGAAATATTAGGAGGTCATCTGCCTTGTGTCTGCTTGAATATAAGATTCATCATATTATCCAATTAGCTGGTGTTGAATCTTATAACTAATCAGATGGTAACATATCTTTCGAATATTTTTCATAGACAATAGTAAAAGGAAAATACCTGGTAGCACAGCACAAGGTCTCCAATCTTAACCATATGACATTCTGAAGGTTCTAAAGGAACTGATCGTTCACGAACTGCATTATCCACATTCACCCACTCATCCTCTCTTTTATCGAATCCAGTGAATCGTACACGCACTTCCTACCACATATACAACAAGTCATATGTTTTAACAAATCACTTGCATTTTCCTTCTTATTAAAATTAACACAATAAGGCACAGGAACCTGCTACTTCATATTATAAAATTTAAAAAATCCATAAGCAAGTAGCTTTTATTAGACTCATTGCTGTCAAGCAAAACAAGTACACATCTGTAGAAGAATCTTACAAGTTCACCAGTACTAAGGACTCTATAGTTGAGGAATGACTCAACATCATACCTGAAAGCCAAAGAAATGTTAGCTATGCACGTTAGTTTAAGTCAGAAGGACCATACACAGTTTACAACAAGGTCATATATTTTTATATTGATTTTTCTCTTCACCACTATCTTTTTTTTTAATAAAAAAAGATCCTAAAAGAATTCAGCTTATGTAATAATAATTACATTAAAATACAGATTTAAATTGAACTAAAATGCCTTTATTTCCAACCAGAAATTTAGAAGACCAAGGCCAATTAACCACTGTAAAAATCACTGGATCTTAAATTGAACTGTGTTTGGTCCACAAATACAAGCTACTGTAGTCACTTTTTTCTTTGCCATTTCTAGCTTTCTTAGTTTCTTTTCTATGCTCCGGCCAAAAAAAAAACGTTTCTTTCCTATACGTCTAGCAAATTAATCTTACCATACTAGTCCATGATTTTACACAACTTGACATATAATGGATGCTAGATTATTATCCTATTTTGCACATCATTAGCCTTCTTGAATAAATTAGTTAGCCAAAATCAAATCTAAACCAAGATTTTCAAATCAATAATTTACTTAAAAGATATAACCAAGAGGTAGGCCTATAAATGGCTTCTTCAAAGGTTACACAAAAAGCATTTAAATGACTTTTGTGTGCCTTCAATAATAGAAACTTTCTTACCATGCAAAATCTTTTGATGATCTGGCTTCAAATGACAACTCCTTAAGATCTTCAACGGTACCTGCATTAAAATTGACGCAAAAAAAAAAAATCCTTATAGTTTCAATTTCAACCAAAAATACAAGGTTGAACTACAATTTTGGAAGATGAATAAAATACTTCTATTAAGAATGCAGGCTAATCATGATAATGATATTGTAACCATTGGCTGCAATTGTAAATGTATATATTTAGCCTGACCTTAAAGTAAACCAACTTGTATGTTTCCTTAGACTCCATTTAGTTGACATTTTTGCTATTTTCCTTTTACTTCTGGAAACAAAAGATGCAAACAGTGCGTTTGGATACCAAAGCAAATAAAATTTTTCAAAGATTATACACAAAATATGTACTTTTGGATTACAAAATGCATTATTATACATATAAACAGATCAATTATGTTATAATTGGTGGTAGATTTTAATTATTTGTCTGTTTTAAATCAATTACAATTTTTTACCTTTTACTTTTGCTTTACAGCAAATCTTCAAAAATTAAAAAACAGATAACAAAAAGCAAGTGGTAAAAACATCAACCAAATGGAGCCCTAGTAAAACAAAAGTAGCATACTGGTCAAGTTGTAAGAGAAGTAATGCTATTTAAGACCTATAATAACTTAGTAAGCTTGTAGGCATCCCTGATAAGAAAAATCTCTGCTTCTAAACTGAGGTTGACACCAGGATATTAACACAGCATCCACACTCCCAAAGCAAAGCAAAGGGTAGAATCTTGTACGTCCATAAGTTTTCAGGCTGACACCAAATTAGGTTGCAGTCAATTGATAAGGGTTAAACCATCAAATGTTCACCTCATCGCTTTATGCTATGCAAGTTTTAAAATTTTTTAATCTGCTATAAGTTAACGTTAGCCCCATAATAAGTTTCATGATGCCATGCTGGATAAATAATTTTAGTTTCTTCTTCACCCCTATGATTGCAATATTTAGCACATAAAAAAAACTTCCAAAGTGACATCTTAGGTTAATGTAGCAGTAATACTAAACAAAGCTTGGTCATATCATATAAATCAAATAGCAACTCCCCAATAAATATCAGATATTTAACAATCAATTAGCCTAAAAAATGTAAACTATGATGCCAATAAGTAAACCTTTGCGCCTTTGCAAGATCCCTGGGTTGCTTGAATTTGCATCAGAAAGATCAACAAATAGCTTTAAGGCCAATGAGGATGGCGCATGTTTATTTTGTGTCTTTAGTAATTTTTCTTGGAACCAAATTTGGACCTAAAAGATAAAATGACAAAAGAGTTATGAATGTCAACATTAACTTATTCTGAAATCCATAGGCATATTAAACAAATAAAACAAACCTGTTGCCATTTTACAGCAGATTTTCCCATGCGGTTTGAAGAGCAACTGGAAGGATAAAGCAACCCAAAGTAAAGAAATTAAAAAAATTACTATTTTATTAGAAAAAAAAAAGAATCTTTAGATAAAATAAAAGCATATAATTCGCTTTTTTTTTTTTTTACCTGAAGTTGGTAGCAAGCTTCTGGCAAAATTCTTTATTAAGTGTTTCTTCTCCTATTTCCTTGTACATGTTCTCCATTTCCAATATCTTTTAATCAAAAAGAAAGGAAAAAAAAATCACCAATACTTAACAGTTATGCAAAAAGCAATGATAATTGGCTTAAACTGAAGAACTTTTGCAGATTAAAGAGGGAAAATCAAGGCCCATATATAAAAGGAAAATGCCAATAGAGCAATTTGTTTTCATTTATGCGTTTATCAACTAAAAAAAATTAAGCTACAGCTTAAAAGAGGGAATTCACGGTGGGTAATAACCTAAAGGGAGTGAAAAAGAAGACCCATAAAAGGAAAATGGGGAAAGAGAGAAAGAGAAATGTGTTACCTCAGCTAAGGTGAATTCAGAGAGGGAATCCCATGAATCTTTGTCATCCATGTCAGACAAATGCCTAAAAAATCTTTGCCCACGCAGAGACGCAGAATCTTCAAAACTGACTTGACTGGTTTTGCGAGGTTTATGTAAGAGAGAAAGACACGAGTTTTTCAATCCATCTCTTCAGCGAGCCTCAAACTGGCCCAGCCCCTTCCTTTGTTTTTCTTTTTGTGAAAAACCTAAAACAAAGAACATATTCGAGCCTTGATGGGCCACATTAGCAAATTTTAAGAAGTCGGATCCATTAACTCAATTTGTTTTTAGAAAAAAACTCTTAAATACGAACATTTAACCGTCGCAATTAGAGTATATATAATGAAATTTGGTGTATATCTATACATATAAATGATATATATATATGTATGAATATAACAATTCTAAATCTCGAAAATTTATTTAAATTGATCTCTCAAAATTTTAATATCATTCTTATAACTTATTATCAATAACAATTTGATAATTTCTCATTATTTTTTTATATATGCGATTTTTTTCATTTCTTCTATTATTACACTTTTTTAATATTTAAATCCTAATTTAGGACTTAAAAATTATGTTCATTTTACTCTTAATAGACATCCAATTTTTTAAGTTGCATCTCAAATGAAAGGTCTTTGTATTTCAAAACATTTTTCATTGAGTTAAAAGTAAATACCAAGATTTAAAATCTGAGGCAAGATGAAGCGCAGAAGATTCATGAGATTTGAGCATTACCAAAATGTGTAACTCTTCATTGTTTGAAGAATGAATCTTAACAACATTAGAATTGGTGGTAAACATAGAGTAAAATATGGTATACAAGAGTCAAAAGTATTGTAGCAATGGCCTGTTGGCCAAGTGAAATAGTCTTTCCCTTTTCTGGATCAACCCTGCTGCTGATGCTTGGAGAAGAGTAAAGGAATGCCATTGAAATGTAATCTTCTTTCTCTCCTTTATAGATGGGCCGTCCAATTACATGCTTGAATTGCCCTTCACTTGATGTCTGTGAAAGCAGGAACAGATCAAATGTATTGAGCAATGACTGGACCAAAAATAATGTTTTATTATTACAGGGGAGGAGAGATGAGATCAGACCCACATAGCTGTCACTGCATTTAAAGAAAAGAAAGTAATGATAAGACTTTTTCATTAAAAAAAAAAAAGAAAAGGTTAATATGATACCAAAGAGGAGGACAAAACATGTAAAAAACTGTGTAGTTGCTTAGCTTTTTTTTCTTGCTAATGTGTTATTATCTAGCATAATGTTGTCGCAGACAAATATTAATGTCTTTTTTTTGTTTTTTTTTGTCATCAATAGCTACCCTGAAGCCTATAGCCTCCCTTGAGAGGGAGTTTGAGATAATGTATTTGAGTTAGGCGCCAGCATTAAGGTGGCTAAAAAGGATGTGAGAGTCAATAACCTGGCTAATGACTAGACTAGTCATTGCACTTGTCAATTTGTGTTGCATTTCACACGCAAGAATTAGTTGAAATATAAATATGACACAAATGATTAAATGTATTAAAATTTTAAATATGAATATGATATGTTATATATTTTACATATAATATAAAATGGTTAACACGATTAAATATGATTAAAAAAATTAAAATGTGACATATGTTAAACTATAATCAAATATGACTAAACATAAAACGTATTTTTTTTAAATCCATATACAATTTTTTAATTAATTTTTTAATCAGGTCATCCTAACGTGTCTAAAATTACCCATGTATTTAGCCATTAACCAATCCTTACTTCTGCAGTTAACTGGGAAAACAAAGCAGCAACCACAACTGGGTCCAAACAAAAGCTCAAAACAATCTAAGACAATATCTAAATTACCTGAGTTTGATCCCCAACTGTCATGACCAAAGCATCTTTATCTGGCCAGAAAGACACCCAACCTTTTTTTGAATACACATGAAACTCAGAAGATCCATCACAGGTATGCAAACACAAGGAATGTGAATAATCAATCCCTCTTATTAGCATTCTGATCACAAGAGAGCTAATCCATTTGTCAGCTGAAACATTCCGGCTATGCTTGTAGAGATAACATGCAGAGCCAATGGCATTTTGCCCTTGCATCACATCATTTTCATAACCTGGTTTTAGTAGGAAACTTTGCCTGATGGCTAGCAGAATTTTCTCAGCCACTTTCTCAATGTCAGACAGAAGAGTTTCCATTTTCTCACTGCACATGTTAAAAAGAACAAATCCCAATTAGAAAAAGGCCAAAAGACAAGTGAATATAAACTTGGCAGTTATTATTACCTGAAATTTGAATACCCAACAGGCCAAATTCCTTCCATTTCCAACTTTAAGCCTTCACCTCTACACCACACAAACTCTTCACTCACTTCACCTTCTTCTTCCCCATGAACTTCCTCAAACCCGTATAACTTCTCTGGTGACCTTGTTAGGCCGTCCGTTTCTCCGCTGGAATTTGAAAAATTCCGGCAGCCGTTGCCAGGACTGATCGGATAGAGTCCCCCGTAATGCCATAATTCACTAACTGAAAGCATCCAAATCTTGCCATAGAATCCAGAATCTTGGGAAGAGAATCACTATCCATGGAATTCAACAGCTGCAAATCAACCTTTGGTGGGTTCTCAATGAACTTTTGCCTAGGGAAGACCTTGTCAGACAAAATTAAATCAGGGACACGCAGAGAATGTTCAAGAAATTCAGAGAGAACGTCATCATTAGCGACGCAGGATCTGCGGCCACTAGCAATTGGAGACGGCGGCGGAGCACAAAAATCAAAGGGCTTTTCAGGCATGGATTCAAGTGAGACTGCCATAGCTAGAAATCATAACAACTATAAAAATATACAAGGTGACAAAAGGGTGAAACCTGAATAGAATTTCCTTTGATTCTTTGATAAACGGCTAACTTGTTAGTGCTTAGTGTAGGAATTCTACTTTCTTTATGGTACATGGTTAAAGAAAATTTTGTACGGAAGCACAATGATGGCCTGTGCTTTTTTTAACAATCTTCACTTTACACCTTTCAATGTTTTTTTAATTATCAAATTTTGATAGCTAAATCTTTAATTTTAAACTCCACACAATGATTTAATACAAAATAGTATGAAAAAATATAAAAAAATTTTAAAAATTTTAATAAAAAATATAAATTTGATAAAAATAAAATATATATTTTGTATTTAATATATTAATATAAATTATAATATAATAACTTTTATATTTTATACAAAATAAACACAGAAATATATAAAATTATCAAGTCTCCTGGCAATGGCCTGGATGATAAATAATGAGATTTGGCTTTTTACACTTTTGACTAACACTTGCTTGCTTATTATTATTATTGGCATTTTTCTAGTTGTAGTCTTGTTCCAAATTTTCCAAATAATTAGCACAAATCTCAAATTGTAACTTATATATTTACAGGGAGAATTTATGTAGTAATAAGAACTGGACAATGGGGGAGGTGTCACTCTTTAATAGGTAGTCCTTTTCATTTATGCTGAGTATTTTTTATATTCATAGTAGGAAACAACGGAACATTTGAGGCAAAAGGGAAAAAAAATTATAGTCTTGTTAGTTTAAACATTAAATTTGAATTAGTAAAAATGTATTGTTCTATACAAAATTGTATTTTGTATGGAGATATTAAAATCTGTTAAAAATAAGGGTTTACTTAAACTAAAATAGTACTTTAAAGATTTAATTAAATCAAAATAGTAGTTCTAAAATTTAATTGGTACAATGGAAGGATATAGGTTTATCTAGAAAATTAAAAAAGTACATGTGTTACATGTGTTGCTCTTTCTTTAAGAATGAAAAAAAAATTTCTGAATTTCCATTTTAAACCATTGAAGCTGGTTATTGTTACAGCTTAGTAATATGGTTCTGTACCCAAAAGAGAAGAAAGAACTTATGGTTCTTGATTATTATTATTATTTTATGGCATTTGGGTGGTAAATGATTGTGGGCCTGAATGAGGCCTCTGCCTGGATCCAGCTTTAAGGCCCGGTTGTACTCAATTTTAAAGTTTTCTTTGGGCTGGGACCATGGTTCTATGACAATTATTTTTTATTTACTTATTATTCCTGCGTCTTGACCATGGCTTTTTTTATTGGCCCAAAAGGTGAAATAGGCAGAGTTTGAGCCCAATGTTCAGGACACAAAGAAAATGTAAACCTAATAATTGTGTTATTGTGCCGTGTTTCTGTTAGACATAATTTCAAACACGAAACGAATAATTTTGTATAAATATGATATAAATATTTAAATGATATGAATAATTTAAATATAAATATGATATGTTTATTATATATATTATATATGATATGACATGATTAATATATTTAAAATTAATTTATATTCAAATAATATAATATAACATGATAATATTAATACAATTATATACGAATAATACGATTAAATATGATTAATCTATTTAGTTAAATAAAAAATTATTTAAATTAATATGTAAACAAAAAAATTATTTAAAAATTAAATATTTATAATTTATTTAAGCACTAAAATTATATACTAAATATAATTATTAATTTATTTTAAAATAAATTAAAATTTTAAAAAAAAAAACTATGTTAAGAATAGTACTATATCTTAAATGTATTATTATTATTTGATATAAATACGATACAAAATATTATATTTTAGACGTATCGATGTGATTAAAATATAAAATATGTTTATATTAAACTTATATATAATTTTTTTAATATAATTTTTATATCGTGTTAACATATCAATTTAAAATCATCAAATCTAAGAAAATGAATTAGAATGCCTAAAATTAATGAACTTGTTTTCTACGAATACTTCTATCTTTTATGCCGACCAGCTGCATGGTATCATATTTAACTTTTTATTTCAACAATTAAAATTTTAATTTTAATAACTTTAAATTAAAAAAATTAATTTTTAAAATTTACAAACGAAATTATGTGTCCCTTAATCTTAAGAGTATAATATTAAAAAATAAAAAAAATTAAAATAAATATTACAATTTTAAGTTTCTCATCTAGATATGATGAGTTTGTTCCAATCAATAAGATCAAGTATGACGTGATCGCATATCTCATAGCGTTGGAAATTTGAGACTCTCAACCATTTAATTCTCAACGCCGAATCTCTATCTTCTGGAACAACATATTCCTGTTAGAATATTCAAAAAGAAACT